CTACTTTTCTATTTTATGGAATACTTTAAGAAGGATTGGTGTTAGTTCTTCTTTAAAGGTCTGGTAGTACTCCACTGAGAATCTATCTGGCCCCTGGCTTTTCTTTGTTAGTTGCTGTGCTGGTCTTTTCCATCATCTCTTGCTTCCTCTTTTCTATTCCTTGATCATTTTGGTCAACCAGACTTCTATAGCATCTTCCATAGTATCTTTCATCCTTAAAATCTGTCATTCTTTGGAACTTTCTGGCCATTCCTCCATTATCTTTAATCCAATTCCATCAAATTATACAACAGAAAAGTTGTCCAAATACACTTCCACCAGCAATGTGTTAAAGTGCATGGGAACATTATTTTCACCATTCTCTTGCCAACTGAGGACATTTCGCATTTTGAAAAGTAATTTCCAACAAATTAATTCATTACTTGAGCTCAATAAATCATTAATTTTTACCCAAATATTTACAGTAGCTTTGCCTTCTTTATTCCGAAACTCTGTTCTACACCCACCCTCTAGATCATTCACTATTGTCCTCTTAACTTCATACAGAATTAGGTTCCACTGCATTAAATCAGCATAAAAAATATTCAGTAATATTTTCCGAACCATGTTTATATCTTATCTTGGTATCTTCATATGTCCTGTGCTATTGCTAAACTGAATTACTCTCTGTTCCCTGAACAAATCTTCAGATTTTCCACTTAAACCGTGTTTATGCTGGTCTCTGAGTACAAAGCATTCTTCTTTGACTCCTGTTTGAAATTTGTATTAATCCTTCAGTCTTATTTTCTTTCTTCTTATGATTAACAGCATGCTCTTTTAAATCAGTTAACCAGAATYTGGGATTGTTGTGGCCATAGCACAGGTGTAGACTTGGTGGCTTGTGAGTTCTCAATACACCCAACTTCCAGAATAGGTACACCTTGGCCTAGAGTTATAGGTATAGGGTAGTGGGTTCATGGTTGGTGACTGGCAATAGTGTGTATTTCCAGGAATKAATAGGTCATCTAAAGAATGTTAGAACTGCAAAATAGCTGGGACAGTTGCTTGCTCTGTTATTTACTCTTCCTAGTTGCCTTACTTTTCTCCTGAACTTTTTTGCTTTTCCTGATATTTTCAAGGCTGTCACCCTCTTGTCACTTAAGTTCAGTTTAGAAGTCACCTAAAAGAGGTTTTCTCTACCCACTTGACCTAAAATAGCCACCATTATAATGACTATGTCATTAACTTGTTTTAATTTCTTCATATTACTCAGTCACTTTTAGAAATTATTTTTGCTTTTTTACTTGTTTATTTATGTATTTATTTATTTTTCCCACTAGCATTTAAGAACCAACAAAGCAAAAACATTTTCATATTCAATACAGTATCACTGGAAACTAGAATCAATGTTAGAATTCTTGAGACTATGAAAGTTCACTGTTTGCCTACAAGGTACACAAGACTTTTGAGGATACTTACAGCAAGATAGTCTGGATGGAAATCCTCTTGGATGATTTCAGAATTTAAATACCCTTTCACAGAGAATGCTTTTTTTATGGTAGAATAGGACTGAATAACATTAAACATGCCAGTCAGCAAAGAATACTTAATTTTGTGGTGCACAGCTTACTCTGTCATCATTTAACTGTTCTTGATAACTTGAACAACCATCAATAGCATATTTTAACAGTTTATAGGTGTCATAAAACCAAGAGCTCTATTTTAGATGACAAAATAAAAATTTAAAGATTTCAACAGGTTGCCCATAAAACAATTTAACCAAAAGACAGTTGTATAAGCATATTCAGTCTTAACTTTATSTCTAGAAAATAATTTTACAGAATCAGGAAGAGAGCACTTAGAATTTCAGTTAACCCTAAACTAATTACATAAGTTAACAGTATAATTGAGCTGCCAAGATACAAAGCACATATGAATCTAAATGTAAACAAATGAATTATAAGGTGCAGAACTAGAGAGGTAATAGTTGCACACAATTTATACTGGCCAGACCATATCTAGACTATCATGTTCTGTAGTATTGGGTTCCAGATTTTAAAATGATAGTTCAGAAACTGAGGTTACCCCCCCTCCCCTCCTGCCACCAAAAAATGTAACTAGCATAATAAACTGGTTTAAAGTTATTTGGTAAAGATGATAGAGACTTCTAGCCTAGAAACAACCTGGGCGAACATGAAAATTATCTTCAGGTAAGATAAGACTATGGGAGAAAAATAATTGAATATTCTCCATATAATAAAATCAATTGAAATAATTATAAGAAATCAGATTCTGGTTTTATTCTAAGCACATATTTAAGGAATAATTTTAGGTAGACACACCTAAAAATGAAATTGATTTCCTTAGGAAGTAGCTGTTCAACTGGGAAGTCTATGAACAAAAACTGGATGCACAAGGAATAAGAGAGGTCACAAAAGAACTGAAGCATTGAATTAGACCAGCAGTCCTCAGACTGAGGTACATGTAAGTAGATGAAGATTTWCTAAATGAGGAAGTCAATTTCCAGATATTCGGCTGCCTACAGGACTTTTTATTATTGTCTGTAAAAGGCCTTATGGTCAAGCTCATTCTTTCCCACCATCTCTTTTACAACTGCTTTTTAAAACAAATTTATGGAAGAAAGACCTGTCTCTGATTTATTTTTAATCTCATTATGGTGCATCAAATTAGGGAGCAAAAACTTCTGATTTTTAAAACAAGGGACAATTTCAAACATTAACAATGATATTGAGAAAATATATTATTCCAATGACAGAATTTCAAATCTTTCTGGGTTAGTTGGTGTTAAATTCTTTGATTTTAGCAAAGGTAAAAGAGAACCTAATAGAATGGGCAACTAAAAAATTATTAAGAAGTTTTCCACAATATTCTCATTTTAATTTTGTCTTCCAGTACAATATTCTTTTTTAAACTTCTCTATGACTCTGGTTAGAAACCTTTGCTAAAAGAAATACAATCTATGACTACTTTGAAGACATAATACGTTGGACATCTAAAATCCACAATAGCAGAGAGAGGTATGCCATAATATTTTTCATTGTTGCATGTTGTACCTAGAGTCAAATTAATTATTTTAAGAGGAGAAGCTAAAGAAAACAATTTCCAAGTCACCTTTTAGGAAATTATAATTATAGATTGATGTTGTTAACAATACATATATTTTATATCTTCATGTTGTGTTAAGTACTTTTGCTAACTAGATAATCATTTTTACAAAAATCACTCTTTATAATTTTAGCTACCTGTATTTTAGTGCTCTGGTACAAAACTACATCTTATGTATCACTTTCATCTTTGATTACCTTATGAAAATTTGCCTCGAAGACAAGCAAAGCATCAATAACTGGTTCATGGAGTAGTGTTTGACAAGATGGCTAGCATGAATGGAAAATTATGGTGAGTGACTTAAGCTAAAGAATAATTTCTTGTTGCACTAGGTACAAGGTGTACAAGTCAAAGTAATGTTTTAATTTAGTAGCAGTGATTACTTCTATTATATCTTATGTTAACTTAATAAATAACTCATATCTAATCTATCCAATATAAAACATTAGAAAAGTTAATGGGATATTTTATATTCTTTTTCTTTGTAAACAAACAACAGTAATCAAAACAGTGTGCTACTGGCATAAAGAAGACATATAGACCAATGGAATAAACTAGAAAGCCCAGAAATAAACCCTTGAATATGTAAGCAAATGATTTTTGACAAGGGTGCCAATATCATTCAATGGAGGAAAAGACAGTGTTTTAGATGTATGGTTATGATTCTAGGAAACCTGGATGTTCACATGTAAAACAATGAAGGTGTTTGCCTTACACTATGTCCTAAAATTTAACCAAAGTAGATTAAAGACTGAAATCTAAGAACTAAAGTTATAAAATTCTTAGAGGAAAACAGGGGGAAAGCTTTATGTCATTTCATCTGGCAATAATTTCTTCTATGACACCAAAAGTACAAACAACAAYAACAAAAATATAGATAAGCTGGACTTCATCAAAATTTTTAAAATTTATGCATTAAAGAAAATTATCAACAGAATGAAAAGGCAATCTATGGAATGGGAGAATATACTTGTAATTATATACCTAATATGGGATTGATGTATAGAATATTCAAAGAACTCCTGAGTCAAGAACAAAATACAAACAACTCAACTAGAGAGAAATCTTGAATAGGTATTTTCCCCAAAGAAGGTACAAATATAAGCACAAGAAAAAGTGTTCAACATCACTAGTTATTAGGAAAATGTAAGACAAAAACTCAATGAAATCCCCACTTCATATTCATTAGTATGACCATTAAAACAACAAAACCCAGAAAATAACAAGTGTCAGTGTGGATGTGGGAAAATTGAAATATTTGTCTATGGTTGGCTAGAAAGTAGTATGATACAGCTACTGTGGAAAACAGTAGAACATTTTCTTAAAAAATTAAAGATAAAATTAATAGTATAACCCATCAATTCCATATTTAAATGTTGTTATGGTTTAGATGTGAGGTGTCCCCTAAAATCTTACATGTGAGACAATGCAAGAAGTTATAGAGAAGAAATGATTGGGTCACCAGAGGCTTAACCCAACCAGTGAATTAATTACCTAATGGGATTAACTGAGTGGTAATGAAGGCAGGTGGGGTGTGGCTAGAGGAGCTGGGGCATTAGAGATATGGCTTTGGGGTATGTATTTTCAATCTGGCAAATGGAGTGTCTCTACTTTCCGATCATCATGTAAACTGCTTCCCTCTGCCACACTCTTCTGTCATGATGCCCTGCCTACCTAACCCTGAGGAATGGAGCCAACTGTCTGTGGACTGAGACCTCTGAATCCGTGAGCCCTCAAATAAACTCTTCCTCCTCTACAGTTGTTCTCATCAGGTCTTTTTAGTCACAACAGCAAAAATGCTGACTAAAACAAGTGAATACTCAAAAGACTTGAAAACAGGGAACTCAGTTATTTGTATAACTATGTTCATGGCAATATCATTCATGATAGTCAAAAGGAAGAAGCACCTCACATGCTCACTGATGGAAGAATAGGTAAATAGTCATTTATTTTGAAAGCTGAAATATGTCTTTCCCAATCTGTTTCATTTAAATTTATTTATTTATTTTTTACTAATCTGGTTGTAATACAAGCTTCTGTGTCTACTCTCAATTTTGTATTTGTAATGTGCCTAATTTTAGTTTATTGATAAACTAAAAAAGGTAATTAATTAAAATATTGATAAATATTTTAATTTAATTATCAGCCAGATTTACATAGGTTGTAATCTAATCCATGCTATCTGCATAAAATATACAAACACATAATGTTACATCTGTAAATAGAAAAAAAATCATTCAAACTGAAAATATTTACTGACGCTAGGTACATTGGTGATGTATTTACATATAATATTGGAAAAGACAATGTGCCCTATATATGTGCTATAATAACACAATAAAACCTTATGATGTGCTCGCTTCGGCAGCACATATACTAAAATTGGAACAATACAGTGAAGATTAGCATGGCCCCTACACAAGGATGACATGCAAATTCATGAAGCGTTCCATATCTTTGGCATTTATACACAATGGAATATTACTCAGCACTAAAAATAACAAGATCATGGCATTTGCAGGGAAATGGATGGCGTTAGAGCAGATTATGCTAAGTGAAGTTAGCCAATCCCTAAAAAACAAATGCCAAATGTCTTTTCTGATGTAAGGGGGGGTGACTCAAAATGGGGTAGGGAGGAAGAGCATGAGAAGAAGATTACCACTAAATAGGGAAGAGAGGTGGGAGGGAAAGGGAGGGAGAAAGGGAATTGCATGGAAGATGGAAGGAGACCCTCATCATTATACAGAATACATGTATGACAATGTGAGGGGRAAAAAAAGAAGTGTGTCACATTAGATTGGGTAGAGAGAAGTGATGGGAGGGAAGGGGAGGGGAAGGGGGTAAAGGAAGGGCAGCAGAATAAAATAGACTTTATTACTGCTGTATGTATATATGTGATTGCATGGCCAATGTGATTCTGCAACCTGTACACTCAGAAAAATGAGAAATTATACCCCATGTGATTCAAATGTATGATATGTCAAGATCATTGTACTGTCATGTCTAACTAATTAAAACAAAAAAAACTTATGATAACATACAGTATAATAGTTCAAGTAAATGTAGTCCTACCAAAGCAATTCATTTGTGTTTAACAGAATAGTTTACTTTGCTTTAATTTTTAAATTAGAATAAATTTAAATGAAATTAAATTTTCTGTTCCTTATTAGCTGCATTTCAAGTGCTCAGTGGCCATACATTGAATAGCACAGATCTTCGTTTTAGTGAACTTTTTCAATAGTTGCTTTGTATGTTTGATAACTCACTGCAAACAAGAAAGTTAACAATTTCATTCAGTTTAACATTCCCATTGTTGGTTTTTAAGGATACCAACAAGTATATGTCAGAGTTTCATCTTTCTGTATTTTTTGTTATCAAAATTTAGGGAAATAAGGCTAAAAATCGAGCAGTCATAGCTTATATGAATGGAAAGTTCAGTATTTCATGCCTGTCTTCCCAAGTTAATTATCAAAATATTATTTCATTTTCAACAGTGTCTTGTTTTGAATGATAATCTATACACTCATTCTAGATATAATGCAAAGTACTTTAAAACCTTAACTAGGAAGCAAGTGGTAGGTGGTAAACTATAAAATCAGCTAATACAAAAGAGAAAATATGTCTTTCCGTGCTGTTCTCATGTATTTAATTGAGACAGGCTGTGAGGACAGAGAACTTGGTAGCCTTGCTGCCTAACACTTGTTCAAAATCATAACCAGAAGATATCTAGAATGTGAATCTAAATGTTAATTGTTTCTTTATATACTTAAATTAGCAGCTCTTTCTCCTCTTTGGAGGAAAGTCTTGGTAAAAGTGTTTTAAAATGTGCTTGTTGTCTTCAGTGAAAATCACAGATATTATACCAATTATAATATATACCTGGACCAAAGGGAAGAAATCTAGTTTCCACAAATTAAAGTTTCAATTTAGAAAATGATTTTGAAAATAGTTTAAAACCTTCAGATCTATATAACTTGTGCCAAGCTATGAAAATATTGCCCCAGAATAAGTTAACAAATATATAGGAAGATATGTTAATTATGTACATGTAAATTATGTACATGTAAATTATGCTTCTGAATTGCTATAGTAAGTGGTTTGATGTAATGGGTATTTTGCTTATAAAGTATCATGTCACATTTATCAAAGTTAAGTTTTATAACAACCCTGAAAAGTAATATTTGCATTTTATAGGTAGGAAAAATGATGTTCATAAAGCTTAAGTAACCTGCCTTAAGTAACCTAGCTAGTGAGTGATGAAGCTTAAAGTTTTGTAATTCCTGTATAATGTCCTTCCAGGCATAGTGTCTGGCTTGTTGTACAACGTCCATGAGCCACACTTTTTGGAGTAAAATCTGGGTGGTGACCTCTATGATTTATATTTTCCTAGAAAGAATTTAAATGTTATGGCTTCCTAGAATTTCGGAGACCCAAAGCTTTTTTTTTTTTTTTTTTTTTTTTTTGGGGAAAAAGAAAATAGACTCTGACCCTAAAGATTTAATGAAAATTATCCAAGTTTCCAAATCTTCCCCCTTCATCCTACTCCCTTCCAAAAGAAAAGAAAAAAAAAAACCAAGTAGATATATTTAAATAAATATTAGTCTGGTGAGAATAATATTATCTAATTCATACATCAGTTAACTTGCAATATATGATAAAGTTATTAGAGTAGTGCTGCACAATATTATAATGGAGATTCCATGGCAGGAATTTATACTACAGCAAGTACAGTTGAAAAGCATAGACGTTGGAACTTAACACACTGACTGCTGCTCCTTATACATTATATGTCTTTAAGCACTTTACTAATTCTTCAAAGCCTCAATTTTCTCATCTGAAACTGGTGATGCTTTCTAACCCACATAATTATTTGCTGAAATTTTATAAATGATATTATTTGCTACAATTTTGAGTATATTTTGTATTATATTTAAGTGTTCATATCTCCCTTTCATAGGTAAATCCCCAATGTGGTGCCTTTTCACAGTGATATATTTTATCCTTATTCTTGGAAGCACTCATGGTATCTTTCGAAATCAAAAACCTGTGAACCCTGAAGCAAATACGAATATTGTAAGTTGTTAGGAAATAAATCTAAACTGCTAAAGTAACAGAGAATGTTACTCTTCAAATTTTGGAGTTTTTAAGTTAATAGATAATCAAATATATCCCTCTGAACTTATGTATTTTGATATGGGTCAACTAATATTTTGAATCTACTCTGCTGTGGTTTATGGTTTCACCTTCAGCCTCAGTATGTCTCTTTGATGAAACTATATATAATATACTAATACCTTCATGAAAGATATAAAAATTCTCTCTTCTATACATTCTTATGTGATATATATATATATATATATATATATATATATAAATTTAAAATACAAGATTAGACATATGCCTGGATATGAAAACATTTATGGATACACATGTACTTTTAAATTGTATATGAGCAGCTAGGTAAATGTATGAATGATTAGAAGTTAGAAAACAAAATAGTGGAGTATTTCTTACTGGTTTTCTCTTTGAGGAGAGGGATTTAAATTTTTTTGTTGTTTTTTTATACATCCTTGAATCCCTAGGGCTTAAGACTGGTGTTTAATAGACATTCCATAAATATATTACCTAAATGAATCACTGAATTAATAAGAAAAGCACATAGACCTGAGGTTGAGATAGAATACCAAAATTCCTTATTACATAATGGATTAGATAGGGCAAACTATTTAAACCATTAGTTAACAATTTTTTGCTAAATGGTTTGCTTTTTTTTTTTTAAAAAAATTCAGAGCCAAATCATTTCCTACTGGGGCTATCCCAATGAAGAATATAATGTTGTAACAGAAGATGGTTATATCCTTGGCCTGTACAGAATTCCTTATGGGAAGACAAACGATAATAATGCTTCAGGTAATATTCAGTTGAAGATAGATTGGTGAGTGAGGCCTGAAGTTCTTAACTTTTCTATTTCTTCTCAGTGAACATGTATGATTTACTGTCAAGGGAATGGAATACTATTAAGGGACGTTACGGTAGGGTGGTGGAAGGAGGTAAGGAAGGATGTGATTCCACAGGGTCTAGGGCATTCAGAGAAGTTTGTGGAGCTCATGAATAGCACTACAGAGTGCCCCCACAATGAGCTTTTTGCACTTCCCGGTCAGTTAATCACTTCCGGTCAGTTAATCACTTTTTTGCACTTCCCGGTCAGTWAATCACTGCCTGCCAAAGGCTACCACTAGAGGGAGGTGGAATCTTTTGGGTGAGACAAATCCTATTTGACTGAGGGGAATCTCTAAAAAGGAGCAATGGACCATCCTTAGAAAAACACTGAGATCACAATTAGTCTTATAAATTACCTACTCCACTATCCATTCTGTATTCCTCACCTTCCCACATAGCTTGTTTGATGGGGGTAAACCAAGCCCTCATCCCTAAGCACTGCCCTATCTATATCTGATCATAGCTGTAGTGTCTACATACAGAACAGAACATGGGAGTAGAAAAAGATGCCTCAATTGAGTGGTCACTTCTGTGGAACCGGTGAGTTCAGGGAAATGTGGAATTCAAGTTTATGAAGATCTTCACAAGTACCCTCCCTCATCTCAAGTTTCAGGGTCCTACTTCTGCCCTATCACAGACCTGAATATAGGGATATATATATATATATATATATATATATATATATATATATAGAGAGAGAGAGAGAGAGAGAGAGAGAGAGAGAGAGAGAGAGCTCTACCACCATACTGTGTAAGATGAGAATTCAACCTTCCTGCAGTTCTGCTATTCTTACAATTAGGTCCTGCCCAAGGTTTTCAACTCTGTTTTCCTTTCCTTTTGGCCATAAGACATAAGGGTGGTTAGATATAGCCTCAGAGGCCATATGATTTTCACACTTTGCTTTGAATTGGTGATTGTTTGCCCCTGTTACTTTATGTCTTCAAAACACCATTGGCACTTAGCAACAGCCACCCAAACCCAAAGACCTCATAATTATACTTCCCCTATTTGTCTCAGCTATCAGAGATCCTGTAAAAGCCAATCACCCCTTTTGTGGATCTTATTCCAATTCACTATACATGAATATTCTAGCCACTGGAATGCTACAACATGCAAGGTTCTTTCAATACTGCACCTACAACCAGATCCATATGGCTAATCAATCAGAAAGTAATCCAACTCCATAATCCCATCCTTAAGGGTCTGCTTCTTAATCGCTGTCGATGGTAACTCCTGGGTAATGTTCGCTAAAACCCATGACGGGGATTTGATGCACATGATTTTGGGGGGAATTGGAAAAAAAAAAACAACAAAGATAATGATGGAAGCAGAAGACAAAGAGCAAAGGAAGTGGGTGAATAAGGATGTGGTGGCAAGAGTCTTGCTTCCATCTGGATCCTTGGTATAGAACATGAAGTGCATCAGATGTGATCTAACCTTGAAGCAAGAGTCGATCTTTTGTTATCTTCGTGTCACTTAGTCAAAGTATAGGGTTATCTCCCGCCTCCTAAGTGTGGAGACTTCCTTATAGCCAAAACTATATCATTCAAAAGGTGTCATTTTTTAAAAAAAAATATGTTAGTACAGATTAGGGCTCTGGGAACTCAGGTGATTATAACAGTGGCTATAGTGATAATGATACCAATTTTGATTATTCCTCTGGAAAATGTGATGATAAAATTGTTTTATTAAAAATAAAGCAGGAATCATGTAAAATATCTTGGGTATKTATTACATAAAATGTGTAAGTGCCCAAATTACTATTAGTCATTTGGTTATTCTCTCTTCCTAAAATTTATATATTTAAGTGGGACATCAACTAATTATTTACTTGGTTGAAACTGTTATTGGAAAGAAATCTGTTAGTGAACTATATTAAACAGTTCTGACTATTTGGTAGGATTAAAGGAGGACCTTACTGCATTTATGCAAAATAAATCTTGGAAACCTTCATACATTTCAGGTAAGAGATTTTCGTGTAGAAACTATACAACTTAAAAAGAAAATTTATGTGGCTCATTGTCAGAGTGCCCCTGGGTTCAATCCCCAATATAGCAACTTTCTTATGTATAACTGTAATGCACTAATAAATCAAACATTTTTAAAAAGAAAAAAAAATAATAAAATTTTTGCTTTTTTCTCATTAGCTCGGAGACTTGTTGTATATTTGCAACATGGTTTACTTACATCTGCTAGCAGCTGGATTTCAAATCTTCCCAACAGCCTGGGTTTCATTCTGGCAGATGCTGGCTATGATGTGTGGATGGGGAACAGCAGAGGAAGTACCTGGTCTAGGAAACACCTATACTTAAAAACAAATTCCAAAGAGTTTTGGGCTTTCAGGTACAAATAAAATGAAGATGAAGTAATCTTTCATTTTTTTGAAAAGTATACTGAATATTTATTTCCTTTTCAGTAAAATACAATAAAATATAGATCTGATTCTTTTCTCAATATAGAACTTTCCTTAGAGCATACAATTTTATGCAAATTTTAGCTTGAAAATTAGACTGCTTGTTTGATTTTGAACTTTTTTTCTCATTTTTCAGCAGTAACCTTTATTTCTTATTTGGTACCTTATTGACCAACCCCATTCTTAGTTTAACTACTTTTCTACTTAATAGCTCATGGGTTTACTCTAGTCCACTGTATTTATAATATACAACCATCCTCTTTATAATACTGCCTCTGGTTTTATTTCCTTGACTTTGTGTTCCCCACAAAAGTCTCTATCCTGTAGGTACATTTTACCACATATCTTCTTGATGATACCCAAAGAGATTTGAAAATTGCCTTTATTCATTTACCCATTCATTATCTCCAAATGTTGATATGACAGAAGAAAGTGCTATTTTTCTTGTTCTTTTTTTGGTAGTTTTGATGAGATGGCTAAATATAATCTTCCAGCTTCCATTGATTTCATTGTGAAACAAACTGGAAAACAGGAAATATTTTATGTAAGCCATTAGCAGGACACTACTATTGGTATGACAAGAAATATTATTGCTATTTTCACTTCAATGACTTGAAATAATCAATAACATATAAACTAATGTTAAGTACTCTCTATACAAGAAGTTAAGGAGTTTAAAATGCATTAAAAGTAAATATTAAAACATTTTTACATTTATTGAGTCTCTCAGCCAAAGTGTAAGATTCATCTCTGTGAAAATTTTACTTATTCCACTTACATCATAGATAGTTATACAAATGCTCCATATTACTAATTTTATTCAATGTAATTGTTTTAGAGTTTTAAACTATAGCGTTGCAATCTGCTTTATTACAAAATTATCATTGTTAGCAAAAAATATCAGGACAAATGCAAACTTCACAAATCAGCTCAAGTTTTTTTATTCAGGAACAAAGTTTCACACAGGAATAGGGGAAGTAGGGATGAAGTGACACTGTGGAATCCACTTTCCTGGTGGAAAATGAGACTGACTCCAAATAATAGAGGGTACTGGGTTTATATAGGTTGTGGGAGATTTAGTGAGCATGAGAGTCTGGGCACTCAGGAATAYAAGTCCTTGAGCTGGGGTTAGTGGACAGCACCTGGAGAGGAGTTGTCTTGAAAGAGATGAGTGTTTCCTAGAGACTGCCACTTCTAGGTTGGATGAGACACTTTCTCCCTGCCAGTGTCTGGGAAGGATTTATCTTGGAAGAGAAGAAAGTCATCATTGTATGGCTTTCCTTTCTGTTTCTTTCTTCCAGGCCTCATTATTCTGTTTTTTTTTCCTTTTATATCCAATAATCATCCTTTATGATTACTTCAAAACTGTAGTTATTAACAATATGCTGTGATTAATATAATGTCACATGCTCGATGATCAAAAAATGGTAAAGTGAATTAAGAAATGAATTGTTCAGAGGCCATTTTTGAATCCACTATTACTTTTTATGCTGTCATTTTTACATGCTACTAGTAACTGCTTCAGAATATCTTGCTAATTTATGTCATATTTCCTTTCAGCTTTCATAACATTTTCTACAATACCAAAGATAGCTGAAAGGATAAAAATATTTTTTGCCTTAGCACCAGTTTTTTCAGTTAAACACACAAAATGCCCTCTAATTAAAAGGGCACACAAATTAAAGTCAATAATCAAGGTATGTTCTGCCTTTCTTTTGTATTGTAGATAACCCAAAGTGATGATGATTCTGTGCTTCAAAATAAGAAGTCTTGATTATGTTTGCATGGTCACATGTATGAATTTTGTTTTTGTTTCATTTATATTGGATTTTTGCCTTTGCTTCTATAAAGAATAGAATATTACTTGTTATACCTTTAGATATTTTATTGTGAGAGGAAACCCAGTGGTGAAACAATCTTTGAACCCTGCTTCTTTAATTCAAGAAAGTGTTTTCTTTAATTAAAAATTGTTAAACTACTGTAAGATAATTTCTTTGTGTATATAGGAACTCACCATATTATTTTTAAAATAAATATTGTGGTCTTTCAAATGTGAATAAAGTAAATTTATTTTACAGACTTTATCTGGCCATGAAGACTTCTTACCTAAAACCTCATTTAATGAATTTGTTGGTTCAAAGTTGTGTTGTGTCCGTTACCAGTTTTTAATAAGATTTGTTTCAGGACCTGGTATATGATATTTGGAAATGATACGAACAATATAAATATGGTGAGAACAAACTGTATTTGAAATATATTTTTGCCAGTTTTGGAAAGGAGCTCTAGGTCCTTATTGTTGAGTCTTTGTGTGTCCTTTCGTGATTCATATATGCATACTAGTAGTTAGAGTCTTAGCCTATCTGATTTTATAACTATTTGGATATTATGTAATTAATTTGCATTAGCATTATGGGATTATTTGCTTACATATTTGTCCTGCTCTCAGTGGAGACTAGAGAGCAGCTGTTATGATGGGTAACTTAATAGCTTTCACTACTGGGCATTAGTTTCCTGAGACTTTTAATATTTAGGCTCTCCTCTATTTACCTATTTTCTATAACTCCTCCTCTTATATCATGGTTCCTAACAGTATTCCACTTCCCTGTTAATCTTTTCATGAATGAAATTAGAACCTGCTAATTATCTTTAAGCTTCTAACATTCATCAATACTCTTGGAGTGGCAGGCATTCTCTCCCAGACATTTTCATGATATTAAATTAAAAATCCTGATTTGGTAGAAGTAATTGTGCATTTGAAAGGAGTTGGTTCTTTTATTGAGGACTTTTAAGGACTTCTTGGTGGCTCAGGAGGCTGAGGCAAGAGGATCATGAGTACAAAACTGCCTCAGCAATGGTGGGGCACTAAACAACTCAGTGAGACCCCGCCTCTAAATAAAATACAAAATTGGGCTGGGATGTGGCTCAGTGATTGACGGCCTCTGAGTTCAATACCTGGTACCCACCCACACCCCCAAAAAACCCAGAATTTTTACTTTGCCCAATTGTTAGAAGTCTTTGATAATAGTTTACCAATCCCCTGCTCCATCTCCTAAATAACTAACTCTTAGAAGAAAAGTGAGCTTTTAAGATTCCTAAGTGCAGTAATTAAGGTGTATGATTATAATTTGGGTTCCTTTGTAGGGATAGATTCCTTCTTACCTTTCTGACAGAGACTCTGGTGGACATCTTAGATTGTTCAAGGATAGGCATTAGAAAGATGAACAGGGCAGTATGCTCTGACCTATATTAATGTAAATAGTAATGGTCCATGATGGAAGGTATATCTGGGATGTATCATCCCAGAAACCAAACATCACAGTGAAGTTTATTTCAAGCATAGAGAATAATTTAAAAATTAGAGGACACAATAAAAACCCAAGAGCTTAAATTCTAGAATGTTTCTGTTAAAAATTTCTGTTTAGGCCACTTTAAATTGTTCTGTCAGGAAAAAAGCATTTGACAAAATAACAGCATCCTTTCATGTTCACAATACTTGGAAAACTAGGGACAGTAGGAACATACCTTCATATTTTAAAAGCTTTCTATGCTAAAATCCAAGGCCAACATTATTCTAAATGGAGAAAATATGGAAGCATTCCCTCTAAAAACTGAAACAAGACAAGAATGCCCTCTATCACCACTTCTATTCAACATAGTCCTGGAAACTCTAGCCAGAACAATTAGACAAGAGACATTAAAGGGATATAAATAGGAAAAGAAGAACTAAAACTGTCACTATTTGCTGATGATCACTATTTGCTGATGACATGATTCTACATTTAGAAGACCCAAAAAATTACACCAGAAAACTTCCAGAACTCATAAATGAATTCAGCAATGTAGCAGGATATAAAATCAACATCCATAAATGAAATGTATTCTTATATGTCAGTGATGAATGCACTGAAAGAGAAATTGGGAAAACTACCGCATTAACAATAGCCCAAAAAATAAAATACATGGGAATCAATCTGACAAAGAGGGGAAAGACCTATACAATGAAAATTGCTGAACACTAAAGAAAGAAATTAAAGAAGACCTTAGAAGATGGAAAGATCTCTCATGCTCTTGGATAGGAAGAATTAATATTGTTAAAATGGCCATACTACCAAGAGTTATACAGATTTAATGCAATTTCTATTAAAATCCTAATCACATTCTTCCTAGAACTAGAAAAAGCAAGCAATCATTAAATTCACTTGGAAAAGAGCTTAAGATTCCTTAAGAGACCAAGAATAACCAAAACAATCCTTAACAAGAAGAGTGAAGTAGGACACATTACAATACCACACCTTAAACAATACTACAGAGCCATAGTAACAAAAACAGCATGGCACTGTCACCAAAACAGATATGTACACCAAAGGTAACATAAATATAGTTATCTCATACTAGASAAAGGCACCAAAAACATGCATTGGAGAGAAGATAGCCTCTTGAACAAATGGTGTTGGGAAAATCGGAAATCCATCTATAGTGGAATAAAATTGAACCTCAATCTCTCACCCTATACCAAACTCAACTCAAAGTGGATCAATGCCCTAGGAATTAGACCACAGACTCTATGCCTACTAGAAGAAAATGTAGGCCCAACCCTCCACCATGTCAGCTTAGGAATTGACCTCCTCAATAAGACTCCTAAAGCACAAGAATATAATCAATATTCAATGAATGGGATGGATTCAAACTACAAATCTTCTTCTCAGCAAAGAAAATAATCAATAAAGTGAAGAGAGAACGTACAGAATGGGAGAAAATCTTTACCACATTCACCTCAGAGCTTCAATCTCCAGGATATATAAAAAAACTCAAAAATTTAACAACAACCCCCCCCAAATAACCCAGTCAATAAATGGGCCAAGAAACTGAACAGACACTTCAAGAAGAATAAATAAAATTGATTAAAAAATATATGAAAAAAATGTTCAACATCTCTAGCAATTACAGAAATGCAAACCAAAACAACTCTAAGATTTCATTTCACTCCAGTCAGAATGGCAATTATCAAGAATACAAGCAACAATAAATATTGGCAAGGATGTGAAATAAAAAAGTACATTCATATATTGCTGGTGGGACTGCATATTGGTGCAACCAATGTGGAAAGCAGTATGGAGATTCCTCCAAAAACTTGAAATGGAACCACCACTGGACCCAGCTATCCCCCTCCTCAGCTTATACCCAAAGGACTTAAAATCAGTATATTACAGGGACACAGCCACATTAATGTTTATAGCAGCTCAGTTCACAATAGCCAAACTATGGAACCAACCTAGATGCCCTTCAACAGATAAATGGATAAAGAAAATGTGATTTATATACACAATGAAATATTAGCCTTAAATGTAATTATGGCATTTTCCAGTAAATGGATGGATCTGGAGAATATCATGGTTAGCAAAATAAAGCCAATCCCCCAAAACCAAAGGCTGAATGTTTCTCTGATATGTGGAAACTAATTCACAATGGGGGGTAGGTAAAAATAGAGATATTTTGCATTAGGCAGAGGAAAATGAAGGGAGGGGRGGATGTATATGAGTAGGAATAATAGTAGAGTGAATCAGATATTATTACCATATGTACATATATGATTACCTTATCCATACAACATGCACAGTCAAAAGAATGAGAAGTTATATTCCATTTATGTATGATGTGTCAAAATTCATTCTATTGTCATGTATAACTAATTAGAACAAATAAAAAAATAATAAAATGTAATCTTAATGTTCAAGCTAGGACAATGCTTTTTATTTGTCAAATTATTGGGCAACCATAATAGCAATCATTCATACTGGATTTTTCTCTTTTTCAGTATCAATCATTAAACAAATATTAGTTTAATATCCTATTATATGCCAAGAAATGTTAGTCTTGGAAATACAAAAGTGAACAAAACTTTCCCATGGTCCTCAAGAGGCTTACAGCTTAACATTGAAAAAAGTGCAGTCCTAGAGAAAGCATTTCAGACTAGGCATCAGGAGAACTGGGTTCTAGTCTTAGCTTTGAATCTTGGACAAGTCAAGTGAGGTGTGTGGAATAGATGGTCCCTATTCTTCTGTTCTGACTAACATTTTGTCATTTGTAAGAAATAGTTATATTGCTTGCTGTCAAATCTCTTTGGTTGGTTTCCCATATCAGTGACATTGGGCTGACCCCACTTGTTGAGAGCCACAGCCAAAGGGGCCCCAACAAACTTCCAGCTGCCAGCAAACTTCCAGCTGCCGGCTGATGATTGGCTCACAGTGGCCCCAGCAACATCTAGCTGATTGGCTCCTCTGCGGTCATGTTCATTGGGCTGTTTCCCTGC